CAGGACAGGTACACATCCCTTTCTGTAACAGCCACTGGGTTTAAACTCTAACCGTGTCTTCCTGGGCCAGCTGCTTAGCCTCCCATCTGTCAGATGGGAGCTCAGCACCTCCCTTGTAGAATTGTTGTGAGAAATGGAAGCCATCATGGTTACTATTTATTAAAAATATTTAGTCTAGATATTGTGCATGCTAACAAGTACGTTTCTTGCAGCTGGACTTCCTCTCTGTTTCCCTCTTTCCTCCTGCCTTCCATCAAGATGAGTCAAGTATTGACTCTGAGATCATAAAGTCTCATTGTTGAACGTATAGCCTTGAACCAAACCAACAAAATTTCTTGTCCTCCTGGAACTTCCTAGATTGAGATCTGAGGGTGGTTTAAGTGCTCTTAAGAAGACAGCCTGGGTATGGAGCGACTGGGGTGGCGTAGGGTGGCATTTCCAATAGGGTGACCTGGCAGGGGCTCTTGGATAAGGTGAGGGTTTAAACAAAGGCCAGAGGGTTGAGGAAGCAGCTGTGAGGATGCCTGGGACTCAGGAAGCAGTTTGCGCTAACGGCCTCCAGATGGGCCTGGAGTGGTCTGGGTGCACCAGGACCTCAGGGTGACTGGAGGGGCAAAAGGGAGCATAGCTCATAGGTTGACAGGAAGGAGTGGGACTGTGGGAGGACTGATTGTCCTCTTAGTGGGAGGAAAAGCAATAGAAAGGTGACATGCATTTACATGAGTGTAGTCTTCCTCCTGGAGGGACACAACTTCCCACATCTGGCTGGGAGTGAGTGTCCCAGAACCCAAATGTCATTAAACCTGGGACAGATAGTGAGCTTCTGGGGCAGCCCTCACCAGGTAGCAGGGGAGAGACTCTAGAATCCCCCTCCAGGCTGGCCCTGCTTACTCCTTACCCATGAGAGAGACACTGAACAGGTGTGGTATCTGGGGTGATGGTGGCACCTTACTCTGAACAGGTGTTCGGGCCACTGTGAGTGGACAGATCAGATGAGAGCAGGTGTGGCAGTGGTTCATCCTTGCAGAGAGAGTGCCCAGCACAGGGTCATTGGGTACCTGGCCCTGTGCGTACCTGGGATAACAAGTCCTGCAAGTCGTAGCTGGGTGGGTGAGGATCTGAGTGCTGAGCCCCACATTCTGTGAGACCTCTAGCTTTGGGGCAAGGGGCTCATCTCCAGAGCACCCTGTTTCCTGCACAGAACCAAAGGACAGTGACACTGCTTACTCCTCTTTTTAAGAAGCAGTTAGTACTTCTAGAAAGTTCTGTGCTGTAAGATTAGGGTTCTTGCAGGAATCCAGTGGGTGGACAGGTAGAACTCACCCCTGTTTAGAGAACAAAGAGCCTTCTAGGAATGAAATAACTGGTCCAGGTCTGCCCCGAAAGGCTGCACCCAGACTTGGGTTACTTTCTCTCTTGATTTGGGCCCATGAATATAGGAATCTCTCCCTACCAGTCCTGGTTGGGGTCACACAGTCCTTGCTGGCATGTCTGCAAAGTTGGAAAGTGAGTTTGTTTTCTGTCACTGTGATGAAATACGTGAGGAAATCAGCATAAAAGGAGCAAGGGTTTCTTTTGGTTCATGGTTTCAGAAGTTTAAGTCCACGGACAGCTGCCTGTGATGTTCCTGGGTTATGGGGAGACAGAACATCACGTGTAATGAAGAAAAGCAGCCCAACTCATGCTAGGCAGGAGAAAGAAAAAGAAGGAGTAGGGGGAAGGGGCTGGAGACAAGACATAGTCTTGTAGGGTGCGCCCCCAATTACCCACTCCCTCCTAACAGGCCCGGCCTCTACCTCCCAACAGTCCATTAAGCTCTGACTCCATGCATGGATTAATCCATTCATGAGGTTGGAGCGCTCATGAGCCAGGCGCCTCCTGAAGGCCTCACCTCTGAACACTGCGGCCCTGGGGACCAGATCCCCACCCTAGAGCTGGGCAGCAACCTTGAGAGGGACTCTGCTCACCCTCTGCTCTACAGTTCCTTACTCGGGTTCACTGTGAGCCAGAGGCCCTCCCAGGGCCCCACCGTGGAAGCCATGCAGCATTACCTGACACTCTGGAAGCCACCTGTCCCACCAGGATGCACATGCTTCCCCCCACTTTGCACACCTGAGTCAATACACCTACGCGAGCCAGCTTGTCAGCACCCACAGGCCTGAGCCCTGGTGGACTCCATGCCTGCAGCCTGAGCTCTCAGACTCCTTGCTATGCTCTGAGACACCTGCTCTTGGTTACACGACCTGTAAAGTGGGGCTAATTCCACTCGGATTATTCTAAGGTTTCAGTAAACACCCAGGCAGTGTTTCATTGTTTTGTTAGTTCTGGTTAATAAAGGTGGTCGTCACTATTTGAGCAGGCTCTGCCTCAGCCACCTTTACCTCCTGTGTGTCCCCCAGCAAGGTCACTTCACCCTTCCAGGGCTGTACCTTTTCCTCTGGTGCATGCGATTATGAAATCTGCCAAAGGGTGCTCTGTCCTGAGGGGTCAGTGGGGGACAGGGGCTGCCTTCTTCCAGGTAGAGGGTCCTGGACTAGCCAGGCAGCTGGCTGTGGGCTCTGTGCGGCTCCTGCTCTGCTCCCCAGCTCCTCCCCAGCCCTGCCTCCTCCACATGGTAATTACGTTCACAACATCTAGTGTAAGCAAATAATAACAAGGGCATTATCTCCTTTTAGTCTGTGTTTTTCCTTGCCTATCATAAAGTAATTAAAATAATGAATGCCTTGTAAAACAATAGGTAAGAGGGCTGGCAAAATAGTATTATCTGCCATATACCTCTTCTGCAGTGAGTTACTGATGCATTAAAACCAGTTGGCTGCAGGGCACTCCTGCCTCCCAACCTTTCCCATGTTCGTTTTTCTCCTCTGTGGACTGCCATGTGGATCCTGAGCCTCTAGGAGCAGGGAGCTTATTGTCCAGGTTCCCTGGTGGCACCTGGGGACCAGTTCAAAAGTGTCCCTGGCAAACATTGCTGAGGACACAGGAGCTGTTGGTTCGGTGGTCTTCTCCTTCCCCTGGTCTTCCCCCATGGTCCACTTCTGAACAAAGCAAGTGTTCTTGGGAGAAAAAAAGAGGCCAAGAGGGTGCTGGGGGTTAAGATCCGTGTCCCATTTGAGGGCTTCCCACTGAGGGTCAGGGGCAGTAGCTGAAGGTGCCCAATGAGGCACCCAGGTCCACAGATGGGCAATGCCTGGGCACTGAGCAGAGCTGCAGATAATGCCTGAGAGGAGGCAATGTTGTCCCCATCTTGTTGGGAACTCTCACAGTGGCAGGAGGGGTAGATTTTCCCTGGGAACCTGCTGGTTTGGTTATCAGGATTCCTCTTGGATCAGGGTCTGTACCTCTCCCTGGAGACTCACCTTTTAAGAGTCTCAGGTGGTTGAGATGCTGAGACCAAGACAAGCTGACTTGGGAGGCTTGGGCAGCAGGTGACACACCCTTCTGCAGGAGGTCCTGCCATGCCTACCGTGTGGCTTCCCCTCTCGGAATGCACTGAATTGTTTTAGCTGTACGGAGCTCAGCACACTCGGGAAGAAAATATTCACATCCTCGCTACAGGTGCAGCTTCTCTTGTCCCCAGCCTCCCCAGGGCAGGGTGGCCAGAGGCAGAGCAACAGGCATCAGGAGCAGCTTCCTCCCTGGCCTGGCCCAGCCCTGAGGCCCGCCCTGAGCCGTGTGTCTGAAGCACCGGCCTCCTATGCCTGTCTGTCCTCACCTGCCCCATCCCTACCCTGCACACCAAGGTTTTCCCTTTCCATTTCTCTATTCACTCCAAGGCATAACAGACCCCAGTGTGGGTTTGCTTTGGAAATGAATTCTCAGATTTTAAACCATGAGCATAATTTTCTGGCATCTTTCCACCCATCCTCACCTGCAGTAAAATCACAGTTGATAGTAGACAGTGAGGCCAGTGAAATTTACATCTAAATAAATAATTATGTTTTCAGCGTAAGTAGGCACCGGGAAATATTTGGAATGTGCTCACACTAGAATAAGTCATTGTTTTTCTGAAAGTCAAATTTAGCTGGGTGTCCTGAATTTCTCCTGGCGCCGTCTGCCCAGGCTCTGTAGCTAATGTCAGGCTAACACTCAGAACCCTTTGGAGTTCCTCTACAGTGTTCATTGAATCAGCTGCATGCGGGGATACTGTTCGCCCCAGCAGTGGCGGAGTCATGCAGGAAATGAAATAAATAAGTGGGTTACTGAGTGTCTTAGAGGTTTGAAGTGCTGCGGAAGAAATAAAGCAAAAAAAAGTGCTGTTGGGAGGGCAGCGTTGCACTTGTAGAGGGCAGCCAGGGAAGACTGTATTAACAAGGTCAGAGACATAAGGGGGTAAGCCAAGAGCCTCTGTGGGTGGGGAAGGGTATTCCAGTCAGAGGGCTCATTGGGTGCACAGATGTGCAATGTAAGGCCCCGTGAGTGTTACCCAATAGAGTCAGCTAAGAAAGGAAATTTATCACCTTTTGGAACTAAAAAGATCTATTGTGGATTTCAGGCACAGTTGAATCCAGGAGTTCAATTGATATCACCAATGCTCTGTCACTTCTTTCCTCTGTGATGGGTTTGTTTTCTGGGAAGAATTAATTTTTTTGCTCTCTGAAGCAAATGTGCCAGGCTTGAATCTTGTGGGGGTAACGTGATCATCCTTGGTCCAATCATTGCCCAAGGATAGACCGGATGGATTAATTGAGCAGTTTTTAATTGTTGGAACCAACATGGGACCATCATTCCCCCCTCCTAACCACTTGGTGACAGTAAACAATTTGCTTTTCCTCCTGAACTCGAAAACTTTTTCTCTAAAATGGGAAGAAAATGTTATCCATCTTTAACAATTAACAAAAATGTCAAAGCTGTAGCCCACCTTCCTGCCTTCCTGTGTATGTTTCAACTTATTTCCGCCTCTGCCGGGGACCTCTTCAGGCTTGGATCCTTGGTGGGTAGGGGTGTTCTTTAAATCCAGTTGATCTTTAGGTCTCAACTCTGGTCTTCTCTGTTGCCAGGAGGCCCAGAAGATCAACAATGGCTCGAGCCAGGCAGACGGCACTCTCAAGCCAGTGGACGAGAAGGAGGAGGCGGTGGCAGCCGAGGTCGGCTGGATGACCTCCGTGAAGGACTGGGCAGGTGTGATGATATCTGCCCAGACGCTGACTGGCAGAGTCCTGGTGAGTCCCCGGCCCCTGAGTGCATGAGCAGGTGTGTGTGTGGCACGCACATGTGTGTGTGTGTGTGCAGAGTGGTTCCCCACGGGGTGTGCGGTTCTGTGTCTTCAGGCTACTGCTGGAGCACGGCTGAGCAGCAAGTGCTGTGCCTGGGGTTTGAGCAGTGCAGGATTCCTTGGCAAATCTATGCTGGTGGTTAGAGACGCTGAGGGCCCAGACTGTGAGCTACAGGGAATGTATTCCTAGCTTTCCCTATCAGCAGGATTGATGCCAACACACAAACACACATACACATACATGCACACGCACACATACAGGACAGAGCTGGACTGTGGTGGAGCAAAGGAGACCAAGGAAACATCTACTAGAACCTGCTAAGGGCCTCTCACCCCTGAGATCCAGGTGTTCTCTGTGCATGTGTTTGATGCTATTCTGGAATGTCACTGCTGTTCTCTGGTGGCCAGGCAGAGGTCCCCTCTTTGGGCAGCATCCTGTCTGCACTGTGTGAGCTGAGTCCTGCCCTGGTGGGTGCTCCTTGTCATAGTGGTGCTGAAGCCATCAGCATCTTCCATGGCTGCAAAGTCCTGGGTCCAAGCCTTGCTCAGGTGCCCTTATTTCTGCTGAGATGTCACCTGGGCCATCTGCGACTGAGGCTCATACTGCCTCTTCTGGATGGATTTTGTTATTTTCTCTGATGTATTTGGACTGAGCTTGGCTTCACTGACTAGCCTCATGAGCCCCTGGTTTGGAACAAGACAATGGATGGGACAGGCTTGGGACTGAGCAGTACCCAGGACATGCTTTTTCAGTGCAAAGACTCATGAACCCTTGGGTACATGGAGTCCTGGTCACACCTGCCAGGATCCATGTCCCTGCCACAAATGGGCAACTCCCACAGCCCCATGGCAGCCCTGCCTGTTGGTTTACTTGAGGCTGCTAGGACTTGGGCCCTTCTTGTGAAGAAAGAGGCATCCAGGTGACTTCTCGCTGTGACTCTAGAAGCTCTTTTGCATGGGCTGCCCTTCCGAGGCCTGCTGCAAGGACCACGCAGGAGTCATCTGGGTCTTCCGATGACCAGGGGCCTCCCAATGGCTGGGTGGTCAGGGATCAAGCAGAGACTCTGGAAAATAGATGTTTTTACCTCAACAATTCTCAGCAGAAACTCAGCCAGGAGCTGACTGTAGAAGGAAGGAGGTGGAGAAAATTTCACATATGAGAGTGAGGAGAATTCTGTGTGGTGTTTGGCGTAAACAGCTCATATTGTCTGCGGATGGAGTAAGGCCCTGCTTGGGGAAGCAAAGATGCAGGTCAGGCTGCCTTCCAGGGGGACGGACCCTGGAACCGAGGGATCCATTAGGAGCTGACTCTTCTGAGGAGTCTGGCTACAAAGTCCTAGTGGATATAAACTGAAAGCAAAATAGAAAGAGGGGAAATGGAAAGTTGGGGTTTTGGAGGAGGAGAGAAAAACTGATGAGGTCACTTCTGCATAAAAGTGGCATAACATTAGGTGTGACTGTGTGACTCAGGGGAGACTGTGTCCAGTGAGGACTTTCCCGTGGCTTGCTGTTGGCTGTGCTGTGTGACAACCATCATCCCTCTTCCCTTCTGATTCTTTGGTAAAGTCTCCATTGTTCTTCCTTGCTTGAGTGTCAGTGGATTCCTGACTGGGGACATAAAGAGGCTGGATTCTGGATTTGGGTATCCAGAATGGAAGTCATGTGTTCTACACACGGTGATCCTAGTGGACACCTAATGGCAGGTGACAGCTTGGTTGCCCAGAAGTGACACTTCAGAGCGTGTGGCTGCCGTAGACAACTTCAGTTATCTTCATCAGCATCAGCCAGGAGATACAGAGCACCAACTCTGGGCCAAGTGTTCTTCACTGTGCTGTAAAAAACAAAAACTGAGCTTGGTGTGATTGATTGTACCACATACGGATGTTCTTGAAAGAGAGCGCAGGCATACAGGTAGGAAGACATCAGAACATCCATTTGTGATAAGGAGGTTGTAGGAGGAGGTGGGTGTCCACTTCTGGGTGCACAGAGCACACACTTGATGATCCGGAGGACACTACAAAATAGAATTTGAGAGCAAAAGTGGGACTGCTTGGTAGGCCAGGAACTGTGTGTACCTAATAAGACAAAAAGCTTGTGAGTTACGGATTGGGAGGTGAGTTAGGATCTTGAAAGTTGAAAGGGAGGCTCCTTCCTAGGTGAGTGAGCAGCGGGAGAAGAGAGGACTACGGGACACTGTAGGAGCGGAGCACCCAGTGACCCAGGGCCACAGACAGGGAGACACTGAGAACAAGAAAGACGAAGAGACAACCTGACAGCTTGTTGGGTGTCAAGGCCAAGCTGAAGAATTTGGGCTGAGTTTTCAGGACAGGGAGATTGGAGGATGAGGTACCATGATCGGCTGTTACGCAGAAGGAGCCGGTGGGTGAACGAAGGCTCGGTGGGGTAGGCAGGAGCTTGGAGGTCCTGAGACAAGTACGTTATGCTCTCAGTGACAATGCAAGAAAGGGTGGCTGCTGGGGCTGTGTAGAGAAAGGCCTGAGTCACTGAGTCACAGAGGTGGGTGGGTGGCTGTGGATACTTTTGTGCAAACAACCACCTTGTCATGACCTCCCCACCTGTCAGTCACATTGTCCCGAGCCTCTAGGGAACCAGGCACATCCCCACACATGGCACCCTTGGTTTGAAGGGCAGTGTCCCTGTCTCTGTGGTTGCTCCACACCTTCTGTACCCTGTTGTGCTCCAGGACTTCACAAAGGAAGCAAGCATGTGTGATCTGGGAACCCCTCTTCTGTAGGGGACAGAACCATAGCACTGTAAGGACCATGAGTTACAAAAAAGTATCAGTTTCAACTGACAGAGTCAACTTGGGGTCCACAGACTCCGTCCTGCCAGCCTAGTGTTTATTTGTGCCACAGTTTCCTAGCTGAAGATGGTGCCTTTTCTTTTCCAAGCTACAGCCTTCCCTTTGGTTGAGACATTACCACCTTGGAGCCAAGTGGGTCCTGAGGCCCCTGCGGCTGACTCTCTTAACCTTTGGGTATGGAATCAGCTATGCAGGGAGGCTTGGGTATGCTGAGGCTCCTCCAGGAAGTCTTGCTGGGGCTGCTGGGGCCCCTTAGATAGGACCGGCCCCTCTGCACAGGGAACAGGGTCTCTGCTTTCTGGGCAGTGGCGTAGTGTCGATGTCCGCTCCCGGCCGGCAGGAAGGACACACGACAAAGTCTGGTAGTGGACAACCTTTTCTTTTTATTTTCCTTCTCCGTACAGCCTGCCCTGGGATCGCTCCCAGCCGAAGCCTCCTCTGGTCCGCTCCCCACGGCTCCTTTTGTGCTTCAGTCTGCCCCAAAGCCTTTACCGGTCCGCTCTCCGCGGCTCCTTTTGGGCTTCTACTTCCGGGCTTCTACCTGGCTTTTTCTTCCGCCCAGGGGTGGCACCGGTATATATACGGGTACAGTGTCCAATCATGTTAAAGTAAGCAAGGCAAGCTGATTGGCTAACATCATCAGTTGCCAGGCAGACTATATTGTTGAGCGGGTTGTTTACGCGGTAAGCAGGAAACTAACATATTCGATGGGAGGGGTAATCTACCTCAGGCTTTGCTCTTTACCACAGGCCGCACGTCCGCCGCGCAAGGCGAGCTATCACAGACGCGGCTCCCAACATCTCCCCCTATTTTATTTTTTATGAATGTGCGCATCGTAGCCCTTCCTGGACTGGGTGCAGAGGCTTATGCCCTATGTGTAGGCCCACCGTAGGTCCTTGGCTTAGACCCTGGTTGGCCATGCCATGGTCTGCCAAGGCCCTGAGGCCCTCGTCCTTTTTTTAGGGCCAGGCACAAACTGGACGGAACCTGGATGCACACAAGCTTGCACTCATTTCCTCTCCGTAAAGAAATCCCCTCGGAGAGAAATTTAGACCTGGGCAGCATCTAACAGTCCAGCGGCTTACGTGCAGGATGGGGTAGGGCCTGGCTTAGGTCGAGTCGTGCTGGGGAGGCACGCTCTTACCCGTCATTGACTCACCTACCCTGCTGTGTATTGTCACCTTATGGAGGAGAATGAGGGATGCCCGCCATATCTAGACTCGGTCGTGGGCCAATTGAGCAAGCCATGCATATGCCTGAGGATCTTCTTGTCCATTTCGGGCTACCGCTATTTCTATTCATCTTATTGGTTGGTCTGTGATGGATCTCTAGTAGGGCAGGTCTGATCTTCAGTCGAGGGCTTTGTTGCCCGTGTCAGTCTCTCCGGTATCCACAGTGGTTCTCGTCCCGGTTCCTGTGGGAAAACACAAACCGCGCCTCGGTTCCAGCTGACCACTGGATCCGGGCCCATCCATTGTCCTGTCAGGACATCTTTCCACTTCACCCACCCTTTATGGTTGGGGGAAGGGTTGCAGTGCTCCACAGCTGGGGAGCGATTATCATTATTTAAATTTAAAAAATTGTGTGTGAATAGTGCCATGGATAATCGTGCCTTTGGGGCCAGGCCTTGGCCTACTCCCCCTTTTTGTTTTTGTAAAATTTCTTTGAGGCTTCTATGAGCCCTCTCAATGATTCCTTGACCTTGGGGATTGTATGGGATACCATGTTTTAATTGAACCTCCATCATTTTGCAGAACTCATTGAAGGCTTTGCCTATATAGGCTGGTCTATTATCAGTTTTTAATATTTTTGGTTTGCCCCATGCGGCCCAAGCTGCCAGGCAATGATTGATCACATTAGACACTTTTTCACCTGTTTCTGCTGTTGCGAATATGACGTGAGAACAGGTGTCTGTGGAAACATGAACATATTTAAGAGTCTCAAACTCCTGTATATGTGTGATGTCTATCTGCCAAACATCACCAGGGATCAAACCTCGAGGGTTTACTCCCATCGGTATGGCAGGTTTGTATGTGGCACAGGAGTCACATAGTCGCACGATATCTCGTGCATCTGCTCTAGAAACATGGAAATGGTTTGCTAGTGTCCTGGCATTAACATGA